TGTGTGTGTGTGGTGTGTGTGTGTGTGTGTGTGTGTGTGTGTGTGTGTGTGTGTGTGTGTGTGTGTGTGTGTGTGTGTGTGTGTGTGTGTGTGTGTGTGTGTGGTGTGTGTGTGTGTGTGTGTGTGTGTGTGTGTGTGTGTGTGTGTGTGTGTGTGTGTGTGTGTGTGTGTGTGTGTGTGTGTGTGTGTGTGTTGCACCCTTACATGAATATATGAATATGAATAAACTCCTTCATTTATCCTGCGCCGCGTTTCAAAGGTCTGTGATGAGCTCTCTGACAACGGCTGCATCGTTAGGCAAAGAACACACACACACCATGAATGTTTTCAATCACGACACAAACAAGCTCAAAATAACACAAGATAATATGTCATATCGGAGACTCAGCCCCAGATGTACAGATGCATTAATTTCTATCGCGATTTCAGTCAACAGAGTCAATCCTCAATGGGTTCCTTCTTCAAGTATAAAGTCAATGACCCGAATACTGACAACAGATCAGTGCTGTGGCTCTATTATCAGGTGGAAGGCTCGAGCACCCATCCCCCAGCTCTGAAAAAGTGATTCAACTACGGTGAAAAGCCGTGTCTCGTATTTCAAAGGTAAGTTTAGCCATTTTCCCCGTCAGCCCCCCCCCCCCCTTCCACGACTTATTTTCAGAACCTGCACCCCTGCAGTCGACCGTGATTTGCGGGCTGTTTAAGCCTTGCGTGAAGCATCATGCGTAGATACCACACCTCCACATGCCCCCCCCCCCCCCCCCACCTAATGCGATGCAGCGACCCCTTTCATGAACGTGACATCGAAAACACCGTACAGAAGCGAAGCAAAACAAAACAGAGACGTAAAACACTCAACAAAAAACGAAATTGCAACCAAACGATGAGTTGGATCATCGCACGTGCTCGGGTCATTGGTGAAGTTTGCTGAAGCACTGGAGGAGACAATAGCGCTGAGGGCCAGCTTCCATGACGACTGCCACGCTGCCTGGCCCGGCGCAGGGCGGACCAGCGCCGAGACAGGGGAGTCGGGTGGAGACGGATGCGAAGGCGGATGTACGGCCGAGCGACGCGTGACCGGACCACGCCCGACCCGACCGTGTCGCCCGCCAAGGCCAGCCGGTCCTCCTGCCGATCGTCGCGGTCGGCAGCGCCGCAGCGGGACCAACCGAGCCGGGACGGCGTCCCGTGCCAGACCGCGCCACCGCGCCTCAGATGCGCCGGAATGACCGTCACGTGAGAGGCGGCGGCGCGTGCGGAGACGATGTGGTGTAATCAACTAATGCGGTGGATGATATAGGCTCCAGTGCCGAATCACTCACGGTTGTGATGGCTTGAGTCTGAACAGGGGTACAGTGAGAGTCCTGACACGGTGGTGGGACACTTGGTTGAGCTCCTGATGGGCCACCATCAGTGGATGGTGTAAGACCCCCAAAGATAAACACCGGATTTGAACAGCTTGCTGTCGAGGGACTTTGTTTGTTTTTGTTTTTGTTTTGTTATTGTTTTTCGCTTTATTTTTACCTGTAATGTTGATAACTGGAATAGAAGCCAGAGCAGCTTTTGGAAAATGAAATTATGTTCGCATTTGGAAGTAGATAAACTGACGGAAGTGGGCGTCATGCTGCACTCAACAAGTCATCAGGGTTTTCATTCTAAATGGTTTCGATTTTTCTCTTTCCAAGCCGTTCGAATTTGACGTTTTGCCAAATTTAGAGATTTGAGGACATCGTGAACGTAGACCGGATCGAAGTGATATCGAAAAGCTGCCCAACCATCGCCCACGTTATTCTACGAATCTTCAGCACTCATCCAGATTCAATGAGCGAAAAAATTACGCAATGTAACTGAGTATTCACATTTGCAAGTCCTGTCAGCAAACACTCGTTCACATCAAACAGCACAGCAAACGACGGTCTTTTTTGCTTTGGTTTTTGGTTTTTGGATTAAAGCCCTTTCGACCTGACATGATCATTTCAGGGATATGGGATGAAGGAAAATGATTAACGATGGGACAGTCGAGCGTGCACCGGGGGGGCCAACCGCCGAGCTTTAACCAGCGCATGCGCGGGTACCCGGTCGCGGTCCCCCTTCCCACGGGCCCTCGGCCCACTCGTGGCTGACGCATGCAGCCCGCCCCGGACAAGCGGGCGTCGCGAGTATGCGGGATAAAGCAAGATTCAGGAGAAAAGGGACGGATTAAAGGCGTTCGGCGTTACAGTCTCTATCGGCCGCACGATGTCTGTCTCGCGGCTAACACTCGCCGGCGGCCAACTGGCGGACGGAAATTATAACGCATCTGAAACAAGCACGTTTTAATGGTAAAAGGCATTAGTTCACACATTTAGAAGTACAGCTCCAGTGGATGCTTCACCTGTGTGACTTTATATTGATAAAACGAACAAACTACCATTCACATCTCCCCGTACTGGTGCTGGCATCTAGTGGTGGGAGTTCGATCCACTACGCAAGGACTTAAATCTCTTACCTATTACGAGCAAGTGGTCCCGTGTATAGAATACTAGGGAGTACATTATCGTTCCTGGCCCAGGACCGAAGGGCTTTTCCGTCTCATCGTGGGATGCCCACCGGCTGCCATTCTGGCGACACGGGCGGGCCTCCTGGTCGCTCCGAGGGCCCTTAGAGGGATGCGTCATGCATTGACTGACCGGGGTGGTTGACCCCACATTGATGCAGCAGCCCTCATTGATGCAACAAGATCCCGTATGGCCGTAGGTACCAGATGGCCCAACATTTGGCACAGAGATCCCAGTTCGGCTTCACGGGCCCTGAGCTGAAATGGGGCGGAGGGCCTCCCGTTTCGTGCTGGAGGCCCTGACTGACACGGAGCCCTTCCGTCGTCTCTAGGTAGATTCATCATGAGCTCTCATATCTTCCTTTGTTGTCAGAGAGCCCGACCAACGTAGGAGGCCCTTTGGCATTCGGGACGATATTCAGTAAATGTTCTCGTGGCCGACTCGGGGCCCCTTGCGGACAGAGGACTCCTTGTTAGGCACTGTGGGCCCCTGACTGACACAGGGCCCTCATTGTTGTAGGGCCACGGCCTCCTCCCTGCTTGGGAAATGGGCGTCATGGGCTCAGAACGACACGAAGCCGACTGTTCGGCATTTTTCTTTGGCCGAAATAGAGGCCCGTGCTCTGCCAGGGGCATTTTATCCTCACAGGAGGCCCTCCGGCTGACATTTGAGGTCGCGGACCTACGGACCGGGGTCCTTAATGTGACCTACTACCCCCGCTGTTTGGCACTGTAAGCACCTGGCCGACACCGAAGGCCTTCCTTGAATCAATTGCCCCGACCAGTGTAAATCTCGGGCCCTCAGGCCCAGACCGACACGGGGTCGACTCCTCAATACCTGCGGATCCCGATGGTCATGGCGGCCCTCGTTGACTCGGGGTATCCAATTGGTGCACAGAGCCCTGCACTCTGAGGGCCCTTCGAGAGCCCAAATCGGACCTTAATCGTTTTAGGGCTTAAGGAGGGGGAGGGGGCACATACCCTCTGTGCCCCCCCCCCCCCCATCACGACTGCGCCACTGGCATGCAGGCAGCATCGTCGCATCAACCCTAATGTAGACCCTGGTAGTAGATGTAGTACAGATCACGTGGAGCAATGGTAGACCAAATAAGATTTGTGATTCGCTACGCCGGAATACGCGGTGCAGTGCTCCAAATGTTTGGTTCGGTAGATGTGCGCAGAATGCATGATTTGTAAACCCCAATCGTGCTCCCACCGTAGCTGCACCAGGTCCCTGATGTTTAAGGCAATTGATCTATGCTTATAGCTGGTGTTTTGGAAAACAACGCACACGCACCAGAATGGCTATCGGTTAGACGGATGATATCTACATTGCATCCCATATTTCTTGGTCAAACCTCGTGCCAATTTACAGCACTGTCTGTTAAGAACTCTCGTTGGGAGATAGGTACGTTTGAATTCCGGATTAGCCATCAAACTGCGTATTGGCCCACCTATCCAGCTATGCATGGACGTTGATTGCTCATGTGCAAATTTTCACTATACCAAGTTTTGAAGCGAAAACTTGTGACTTGGGCCTTTACCCATTTGACGAACGTGCGATCTGGCTGACACCTAGTGACGGAATGAGCACCCGTGCTTACTAAAACTGGCAATGTAATAGGTGGCGTTAAGAATACATATGCATTTGCTCGGAGCAGAGATGTAATTGTCACGAGGAGTGGGTGAGGGCGTCAAAAAAGGCATTGTGGCCAAACAAGGCATAATAATGACTTGCAATTGGAATGAGTGCATCAAATCGAAATTGCGTTAAATGCTGGTGTGCTCACTGCCAGACCTGTCAAATAGCATCTTCCCCACTAAGGGCTCACGATCTATCCAAGAAAGAAGATTCTCACTTCACCAACCGCCTCGTATCCCCGAAATCATTTTTTCGTCCTCCCAGCCTGGAAAATCTGTCCCCTGGTCAGACAGTATATGCATGAATCACGCACAATGCAAGTGAAGTAAACGAAAGCCAAGAAGTCATATGCCAATCAAATCGGCGGCGACGCATGCATGTTATGCCTAGAGCTACTTCATTCAAAGTTCATATGTTTCTAAGTCAGGAATAAGAATCGGGTGATATCAATGTGCACGCACCTCTACGCAATTGTGCAACTGGGGTTCATTATTGCGATCATCCCTGGCGCTCTGGCATCAAGCGGATGGGATAAGAATCTATAGACCTTAAACATTCTGATAGATGTCGCCCTCTGTAAAGCCTCACGGGACCGCCAAGAGCTTTAATGTTCTCTTTTTGTTTGTTCATGCTAAGCCGATGACAGTATAGAATAATTCAAACCGTTGTTTCCCATCTAAATCGTAAAGAAAATCACACGCGCCCAATAAGCCATACCCAAAACAGTAAAGCACATCCATCATAGGAAGACATAGGTTCACGGAAGACAAACAGTGACTCTCATGCGTATTATTCGTCTCGAGTCCCTTGTGGGAGGCTGAGTCGGCTAAGGGTCCCGTGCCTGTGAGTCCGTGCGGGTCGCGCGAGTGGTGGCGTGGGGCGTGAGGTGCGTTTGTGGGGGTGAAGTGTGAGAAAGAGCTGAAGAGGCGAAGTGTTTGGGGGAGTGAAACGAAACATAATTGGATATTTGGCAGTGCCTCTGCTCGCTAGTTCGGTGAGGACAATACGGGTAGGTACTTGTGTGGATTGGAGAAGCTTGTCGGCACGTCACGCTTCCTTGAACTGTGTCATTTATGAATTTTTTGGTGACGTCGGTAAGTTGTGTGCAACATGCCCGCTCTGATGACCTTGAACAACATAATCATAATTCATTACGGAAATGAGTATGTCAGGAGGCTCCAGTGTGTGAACTGTTATGTTATGAGACTCCAGCGATATTTTTACGCATGCTGCTAATCACAGTGTTGATAAGAACAAGAATTTTGGGATGGTGGCCGATAAATCTCAAATAAATTTTGCTGCTGGGAGGGTTGGTTAAGAAAAAATTGATGCGTGGTGTTACATTAATTTTATCAGTATTGATTGTCCTGTAATCTTTAGTACATGGTGGTTGTGCATAGATGCTTATGAAAGCTTTGATGTTCCATTGAGGGGAATACAAGGTTTGTCCGATATTGTTGTTCTATCATGCTTCAGCATGACAGCTTGCTTCTCTCATTGCAACATGGTAGCACGATATTATCAATCACAGCCAGAGTAATGGAAAACATGTATTCCCATTTGTATGTTGGGTATAGTCTTACCAAATCCAGTCTTTTTTGTAATTTTGTGTAGAGAATTGGATTAAGTGTATGTGGACATATTTTATTTGTTTGGTCATCTTTGGAAAGAAAATGTAATTTAAGCATTGTTAAACCATTTCTAACCCAATTGCTACAGCTCAGTCCTATTAAGTTTTGCTGCATGGCAGCCATATAGGGTAAATGGGTTTATGAATGGCCTGTGTTGTTCATGTGGCAACTGACATGTCCCTTTCCCAGCAGTGATTTAGTTGTGACTAGCATAGAACCATAATATATCAAGTTTCTGGATGTTTTATTATCCTCCTATATTAAAGATGTGATATCCAAATGGATTTACTGATAAAATCACCAACAAGTTCTCCAACCAACATATTTTCTTGTCAAAAACATACTTTGTAGTAATGCTTTAGCTAATACATTATCATGTTTATATTTTAAGAAGGTTGCTAATTCATACTAAATCAAGAAATCAAACAATCAAAGACATTCAAAAGTACTTCAGACTGGGCACATTCCAAGGGTAGTTAGATTGTGCTGGTTTAGATTGGTATTGATTGTTTCTATTAATTGCAGGATGTGTAAGTGAACTGCCCACAAGTTGTCAATATTTATTAAATGTGTAGCATTTAGAACTTTAGGTCCTTAAAGTCATTTTGTTTTTAAGGGACAGTGTTTACCAGCATTTGTGGCTGTGTCAAGAATGGAAATGAAGGGCTGCTTAGTTAGAAAGCCTTTCCAATTGGTTTATTGTGGCATTTTATTTAATTTGTTGGGCATAGATATGAGTTGGGTAGGTAGGTATCAGCTACCAGCTAGTAGCACCATGCTAAAACAAGAAAATTAGATGCTTGGTGCTTGTGTCAGTTGTTAATGATAATGCAGACACTTATTTTCCAGGTTACAGTCTCCCCATTCCATCATGTTCCACTTCAAAAGGAAGGACAAAGATGACAAGAAAAAGGATAAGGAGAAGGACAAGGATAAGAAAAAGGACAAAAAGGAGCGGCGGATCACAATGGAGGAACTCCGCCGGCTTGAGGAGGCACGTCGAAGTCTGGTCGGCAAGACCAAGAAGAAGGACAAACTGCCCAGCGGTATCACTGCCGACTACATGGAGAGCTTTACGCAGGCAGAGCGCGAGGCGCTGGCCAGCCGGGGCGCGTTCGGCGGCGCCGGGGCACCACCGCGGCCGCCCAAGCGCGGCATCCTCAGGGGCAGCCTGCAGGACTACCAGCTGGTGGCGGACCACATCGATGACCACAACGTCGTGGCCGAGAACACGGTGCGCAATGAGGTCATTAACTACGAGCGGTTGATCCAGCGGCGGACAAGCGGCGCTAGCGGCGGCAGCGGCGCCAGCGTGCCGCCGCTGCCGCCTAAGGGGCCGCCGTCGCCGACGCCGTCAACGCCGTCCAGCTCGTCGGTGCAGCGGCTGGCGCGGCAGTTCGACACGCCGCGGCGCAGCCCCACGCTGTCACCGAGCGGCTCGCTGCGCTCGTCGGCGAGCTCCGCGACGACGCTGTCGTCGGAGCCGCGCGCCGGCGAGGCGGCCGGCCGCGGGCCGCCGACGCGCCGCTTCCCCGGCCACGAGCTGCGGCTGCCGGCGCTGGCGGCCGCGCCGCCACCGCCAGCGCGCCTCCTGCGCGTGGCGCGCCAGCCGGGCGGCGAGTTCGGCTTCGCGCTGCGCCGCTCCATCCTGCTGGAGCGCACGGCGCGCGGCGACAGCCAGCGCACGGTCATATTCGCCGAGCCGGGCCGCGGCGCCGCCGGCGCACACGGCGACACCGGCCTCCTGCCCGGCGACCGACTCATCGAGGTCAACGGTGTCAACGTGGAGACGGCCGAGCGCGAGCAGGTGGTGGCGTTAATCAGGAACTCAGGAGACGCCGTGACGCTCAAGGTACGGTGGCGCGCGGGGACAATGTGCAACTGGAGTGGTGCGGCGGCTGCGGCGCGCGCGGCGCCGGACCTCCTCCGGCTATGTATATTCGTGGGCAGGTCTGCGTGTTAGTGAGCCCCTGCGATAGTTAAACTTATTGGCATCACATTTATTTATCTCATGGTATTGTCCAGGATTTGTTATTTGGAGGAAAATCTTAATATATTGTGGGCTTTACTTTTGATATTATTTCTGATGGTTTGTGTGGGTGGCTTCGGGTTCAGGGCTTTTGTTCACCACAGCGTGTTGCATGCACATCGCCCCTTCCGTCCAGACTCTGTAATCTGGTGCGTCGGGTGATTTGCCTCCGGCCTTTTGCCGGGAGTGCGGAGGATTTTATCAGCGGCACATCGTTACGGCGCGACTGCTTGCGTCCAAGTTGTGCCCTCTTAAGCCAGTTACCTGCTGACCTTTCACTCTCAGTGGAGCCAGTCAATGCGCATATTGCGAGACTCAAACCCAGCGCCATTGGATTCTGAGTCAGCCGTTTCCCCTCAGACCACAGATGTGTCTGCGCTGTGGTAACTGATGTATTGTGTGGTACCATGGATTGCGCTCTGCCTTGGTTTGCGTCGGCACATTCCCGACACCGCCAAACCATAGCGGCCATTCTAAGGTTAGTTAGGCAAGCGGGTAGACGCATTCCGATTGTTCGTCTTATCCGACCTGACCCGCCATGATTTCCTTTGACGAATTCAATGTGTCTCTTGGAAATTTTCTGACCTCTTTTGGGACAGCAGACAAGGGAATTCTCTGTCAGCGTTTTTAGAGCTCTCCTTGTCTAGTATCGAGCGGACTTGCTCCCTATCTTGTTCCCAGCACGTGGTTGATAGCACTGCAGCCTCCGCAGCCCACAGGCTTTGGTCCGCTTCATGTGCCAAAGGAGCGCACATCTCCGTGTGCCCCGTGCGCGCGGGCGCCTCGCTCAAACTCAAGCGCTTCAGGTGCAGGCATGCGTTGGTTTGCGATTCCGCTCCGCGTCTTGTTCCGCGGCATTCCGTTCGCAGAACTCCGTCGTCTGTCCGCAGTGGGGAGATTGGCCGCGACTGATTGCTGAGGGGCGTTCGTTTTCCCGTCCGTCGGAGCAGGATTCTCTTCTCAGCAGCTTTCATCCCAGGTCGTCGCATAACTTTTCCTGACGTGCTCATGAACGGGTTTGAGCAGCATCACTCAATTCAAATCAGGGCATTGAATTTGAACTAATGGACAGCTGTCCGGACAGGCGTTCCGTTCCCACGCGGCGATCCTGATGTCCGCGTTCGCGTCGGTGGTGCAGTCGGGCAGCGGGTCGATGCGGCGGGCCGTCACTGCGGCGCAGCGGTCTGGCGACAATGGGGGCGTGTCTATCGCGCTATCGGCCGCCATTAACGGGCGATCACATCCCGGTGGCGGCTACCGATAGTCGCGGCCCTGGCGAGACGCGCGGGGCGGCGGTCGGTGACCTTCCCCCGCCGTGTCAGGTCACCGCGACCCGTCTCCCAGCCGGCGATTGGCGCGGGAGAGAATTGCTATCGCCGGCTATCGTCGCCCATTTGACACCCTAATCGCAGTGTAAAGAATCCGCCCGACACGTGGGAGCTCGATAACACTGCCGGCTGGGTAACGGCTCGGAGAGTGCCCTGATGCATCGCCGATCTTGTTCAGTGTTTAACAACGGCTTGTAGGTGCTGACTGGCCTGTCGGCACTAAGTCATTCGGTAATGGCCGTATGGATTTATGGTCAGTTACACAGTTCCCATGATGAAATGCATGGACTGCGAAAGCCTTAATTATGCTGTCGATGATGACAAAGTGTGCCAGACTTTTATGGGCGAGATTTGCAGTTAGCTCAAGTTAAGTGGTAAGTACAGATGCCTGTTTGACATGTTACCATGAGAACTCATAGTTTGGGAAATGCGTGCTTTCGATACAGAAGTTCAAACTAAAAATGCGAACAATCCTTACCGCGACTTCCTTAGGACTTGTGCGCAGCTGATTCAGCCAAATGCGATGCTATTCCGGTGATATTTCGCCATCAGGGTCCGCCTCGCGAAGCCGTGGTGTTCACGGAAATGTATGAGTTCCCGGATTGATGGATTTGTTGATGTTTGCAACCCCAGCGATCGAGTGGGTGTAGGGATCGAGTAGCGGCCGCCTATCAGGACTCAGGCCGCTCTTGTCTACGGCGATGTTCTGACGGATGACCGCTATCTGATGGCGGTAGACGTCAGCTGTTGGCTGTAGTGAGCGGCTATTTTTCTTTTTGGATGCAATCACGGCAAAGTCTTCACCTGCTCCGATCGAAATTTCACATGCATGCAAGCCATCAGTGCCGCCGCCTCGCAGAAGTCATCATCACGCAGTAGCCTCCGTGACTATCCACACCTGCTTGACGCGGCCGGCTGTTTTTGTTCGTTGCGGGTACCGGGTTTTGTACTGTATATTCTTCTCGCTAGTAAATTTACAGCTTTAGGAGCACAATGTTGACCCAGGAGTCGACGCGGCTCCAAATCCTAAACAACGCCGTTTATTAGGATTCTGGAAATATTACTTGCAAGCTTACGGAATCATGTTTATCGTCATTTTTTATTGTTAAGATCACTATAAGGTCAACGCTGTTCAATTTTTATTTCATTTTCTTCGCGTGTGACTTAGACTTCCTCGTAAGTGAAATACCGTTACCTTTCGCAAAAAAGTGCCCTGGTGGCGACCATGCGGCTGACTGGTTGTGCCAGTTAAGGGTGTGTAAATATTGTTCGCTTTATAAGCTCTTCGTGTTTTCCATTTCAGTCTCAACCTCGTCTCTCTGGTCTAGATTATGGTCGTGCGTGGCATGCGTTGTTGTGGTAAACCATTGCTCGTCAGAATGGTTTTGTGGTTCAGACATTCATCGCCATCGTTGCTATGGCCACCATGGTCACCATCGCCATAATCCTCTTCGTAGTCTTATGTAATGTCCATCCGTACTGGGCATCGCCTTTCTGGTACCAGGGTCCGAAACTACGAAAAGGAATGGTGATTGCTAGATGGTAGATATTGGCTATACATGTCAGCTACGGGGACGAAGCCGGTTTCATCTCCGGCTTTGGTGTCGTGGGTTCGGATTCGGCTTCGGCTTTGGGCCATTTTTCTCGAATGGCTTTGGCTTTGAATTTGGCTTCGTGTCATCTTGAACGGTCGGCGCCGGATCCGAATTCGACATTTGTAACAGTTGGCTTCGGGTTTGGCTTCGAACGAGTTTTGAATCATGACTACGGCTTCGGCTTCATGTGATTGTGAACCGGTGGCATCTACTTGGTCATGGTGATCAGTTCAGGCAGTTAAGCTTCACTTCATAAAAATGGCATTGCCCGTCCCGTCAACCCAATATGCCCCACAATCTTTCAAGGCTGCGGCGCATGGATGGCTGATACCCAAAACCAGCCAGCTAGGTTTCGTCACATGCCATTATGTAAACTTCTACAAATCCGCAGGTTACACTGTAGTCCCTCTTGTCTGTGACTGTTTTGCAGACAGCTACCTCTTCAAGGTGTTCAGGACAGTTAGCACGCCCTTGTCTATATTCCTTCCTATTCCGCTTGACGCTTCTTCGGGCCGGGCGTCGCTCTCACGTGTCAACGTTGGTCGGAGTTGGAACTTGGCGACAGTTTTGCACTGACAATATACCTGACAACATTGACTAGCGCGCCAGTGAAGGTCACGCTGAAAATGTGGAATGTTGGGGTGGCCCGAACTGCCAAATGCGTGACGATTGCCACGTGTGTACGCCTTTGTTCTGTTTGTGTGTGGTAATCGCGCTTCTGCGATCAGGCCCCTTTGGTTTAACCCGCCCCTCCCCCCGTCACCTGCGGCCTCACTCTGCGACGAGGGACGCGTCCGGCGCCCGTCCCCCCGGTCAGCATCGTTCACTCCCCGTCCGTCAGCCGTCAGTCAGTGACCTGATGACCGCGACAGCTCTCGTCGGCGGGCACAGGACTGAAGGGGAGGGAGAGAGGTCCGCTGGTGCCGCCCGGCGCCGCTCCGTAGGACCTGATGACGTGATGACCGCGACAGCTCGCGTCGGCGGGCACGGGACTGTGGGGGAGGGAGAGAGGTACGCTGGTGCCGCCCGGCGCCGCTCGTAGGACTGATGACGTGATGACCGCGACAGCTCGCGTCGGCGGGCACGGGACTGTGGGGGAGGGAGGTCCGCTGGTGCCGCCCGGCGCCGCTCCGTAGGACCTGATGACGTGATGACCGCGACAGCTCGCGTCGGCGGGCACGGGACTGGGGGGGAGGGAGAGAGGTCCGCTGGTGCCGCCCGGCGCCGCTCCGTAGGACCTGATGACGTGATGACCGCGACAGCTCTCTCGGCGGGCACGGGACTGTGGGGAGGGAGAGAGGTCCGCTGGTGCCGCCCGGCGCCGCTCCATAGGACCTGATGACGTGATGACCGCGACAGCTCGCGTCGGCGGGCACGGGACTGTGGGGAGGGAGAGAGGTCCGCTGGTGCCGCCCGGCGCCGCTCCATAGGACCTGATGACGTGATGACCGACGCTCGCGTCGGCGGGCACGGGACTGTGGGGGAGGGAGAGAGGTCCGCTGGTGCCCGCCCGCGCCGCTCCGTAGGACCTGATGACGTGATGACCGCGACAGCTCGCGTCGGCGGGCACGGGACTGTGGGGGAGGGAGAGAGGTCCGCTGGTGCCGCCCGGCGCCGCTCCGTAGGACCTGATGACGTGATGACCGCGACAGCTCGCGTCGGCGGGCACGGGACTGTGGGGGAGGGAGAGAGGTCCGCTGGTGCCGCCCGGCGCCGCTCCGTAGGACCTGATGACGTGATGACCGCGACAGCTCGCGTCGGCGGGCACGGGACTGGGGGGGAGGGAGAGAGGTCCGCTGGTGCCGCCCGGCGCTGCTCGTAGGACCTGATGACGTGATGACCGCGACAGCTCGCGTCGGCGGGCACGGGACTGTGGGGAGGGAGAGAGGTCCGCTGTGCC